GCACACGGGTTCCTAAGGAGATTCCTCTGCAGGCTGCGCAGGAAGTAGAAGATCTTCCAGTCCTCCACGGGCTGGTCCCAGTCTTTGGTGATGAAGCCCTCTTGCAGGCTTTTGCGCTTCCACAGAGTCACCACATCAATGAGGTCTCGCCAGAGGCTGCAGACCAGCCGGCAGTTACGCAGTAGCTGGCGGGCGGGGACGTGGGTGAACAGCTCCAGCAGAATGTTCTCCGGGAGCTCGTTAATGTTGACCATAGTGGCAATGGTCAGGCCTGAGAGGGGTAGGGGATTGACAGAGGCCGTGAGCCGTGAGCCCGGAGCAGAGGACTGACTCCTCCCCTCCCACCTGTTAGGCAGGTCTTCCCTGACCTGAATGAAACTGCGCAGAAGGAACACCTACAGGGTGGGGGTGGAGTGCGGTTCTTGCGATTAGCAGGGCCCTTGCTAGTGCATTTGCAAAAAGGAAATCCCAATAAATAATGTACTGGATTCAGCACCTTGTGCTCCAAGCGTCAAGGAGGCTAAGGCAGGAAGATTGCTTGGGCTACTCGGATTCTAGGTCAGGTCAGCCTGGGTTCCCAGGTTTTCAAAGACCACCACAGGAACAAAATTACGTTTTTTAGTTTTTCAAGACAGGGTTTCTCTGTGTAGCTTTGGAGCCTGTCCTGGAACTCTTCTGGAGACCAGGCTGGCCTCAAACTCACAGAGATCCACCTGCCTCTGCCTCCCGAGTGCTGGGACAAACTGCCTGTGCCACCACCACCTGGCTACAAAATTAAGCTTTAAAAAACCCTTTGCAAAGTGCTAGGGATGGAACCTAAGGCGTGGTGTATATGCTACACTACACTCTGCCACTGAACTGTATCCCCAGCCTTGAGCCTCGCAGTTCTAAGCCAGTTTGGGCAGCAACACAAGACTTCGTCTCAAAAAAGAACAAGAAATAAAACACAACAACCACAAACAGACAAGATTTTCAAAGGTGTCCCTGCTCCCACTTAAAAATAATTGTTTAGGAGCTGGGTTTGGCAGCGAATTTTTGAAATCCCAGCGCTTGGGAGTGGGGGATAGAGGATCAAGTTTTCTAAGTCAGCCTGGGTTACAGGAAACTCTGTCTGTAACCCTTCACCCCAAACTGCTTGGTTTTGGAGCCAGCTGGTCCCTTGATCTGGAAAGTCTTCCATGGCCACTCAGCTGTTTCTTAAATTCTCTGTGTCTAATCCTCTTGTGACATCACTGCAGGAGCATTTTAATGCCCAGGTGACAGATATGTTGCCTTGGGCATCAGGCGAGGCCAGAAAGGGAGTGTCTGACCGTCTGCAAGCTCTTGGTCACCCCAGGGACCTGCCCCAGGGGTGGGGGTGGGCTGAATAGGGCCCTGTGCTGTCAATCAAAGGAGCACACCTGCCTAAGCCCGAGGGAAACCTACTTTCAGGCTTCCGGGGAAGCTGTGATCTTGTTAGTGCTCCTGTCCCAGAACACAGGAGGGTGGGTGCACTCTGGCCCTTGCCCTCGAGGAGTTCTTGTGGGGGCCCGGATGGGTGTGGGGTGGGTTGGGGGACAAGGGACCACGACTAGGGATGATACACAGGACCACAAGGGATCTTGGCATTGTTTAAATCCTTAGCTAGGGAGGCAGTCCAGGGACTGGAGAGGTGGCTCAACTGTTAAGAACACTGGTTGCTCTTTCAGAGGACCAGGGTTCAATTCCCAGCACCCATAGGGCAGCTCACAGCTCTCCAGTTCCAGGAGATCTGACACTAATGCATCTAAAATAAAATTAAAGAAAAAAAAAGTGACTGCAGTTACAGTATTGTTAAAAAAAAAAATTTCAAGATACAAATAAAGACCAGGGTGGCACTCCTTCATAGTCCCAGATAACTCAGGGGATTTTGAAAAATTCGGCTCAGCCTGATCAATTTATAAAAAAGTAAAAGTAGGCCGGGCGTTGGTGGCTCACGCCTTTAATCCCAGTACTGGGGAGGCAGAGGCAGGCGGATCTCTGTGAGTTCGAGGTCAGCCTGGTCTCCAGAGCGAGTGCCAGGACAGGCTCCAGAGCTACACAGAGAAACTCTGCCTCGAAAAACAAAAAACCAAATAAATAAAAAATAAATAAATTAAAAAAAAAGTAAAACCGGCTCATGGCAGACCAGAGCGAGAGGTAGAAAGGTCAGAAATGTCTCCCCCTCAAAGAGGGAGGCGCGGGAGCTTATCTGGCGCTTGAGAGGCCCCAGGGTTCCATCCCCAGAAACAATCCACAGAAATCCAGGTGAACTAAGTGGGTCAAAAGCCCTCGGCAGGCAACTCGCAATTTTTGCTGCGTAGTCACCGGGCGCCGCCGGGTGCCGGGTGGGGACCTCCTGCCTC